AAACTTTGCTGGTGAATGTTATAACAATATAAGTTTTATAATATATGTTACATTGCACCAGCAAAGTTTACAAAGTGGTAAAGACTATTATTTATATGTAATTCTTTCACTCTGTCAAAAGTAAGATACATCCCAAATCTTCCGTTTTTGTTTTGAAGGTTTCCTAAAGACACGATGTGAGGAAGAAGTGGGAACTATCTTTAAAGAGAGTCGGCAGCATGGATGAATCTCGCATCGTATTTTGGACTCAATCTCAGCTGCTGAATCACTCTGAAGCTAGAACTCGTCAGCTGGAAAACAGCCAATCAATAATATACCTGTTTACATGTATATTTATATATATAAACATGTATCTAATATATTATTCAGTATTAATAATTATTTATTTGTGTCATTATTAATCATTATTTGTGTTTGTATATTCATATAAATATGTACTAATATTACTAAATAATTTATTAAATAAATTATGAACGTTCTGTGCTTTGTAAAATGCTCATCATACATCAACATTACATCAATATTAGAATATTCTATTCCTATTCTATTTTCCTCACTAAGCATAGTTAAATATTCTGAAATATGTATCAATACAATTAAATAATACAATTATTTATAAATGTAGCTTTGATAGCTGCTTGAATAAGGTTTTCAGTAACAAAAATGCGTGTTATGTTCGATTAAATGCGCTGATATGTCATTGTGCCTGCCAAACACATAAGGCTGAGTCAGACCGCTTGTCAAAAATGAAATAATGAAAATCGAAATTGACAGTTCGTTTTCTTTATTTTTGCAATTGCCGTTTTTCTAATTTTGTTTTAAAAACCAAAAACAACAAAAAAACAAACACATGCTTGTTTTGTTTTTGCAATTTTATTTTGAAACGAAAAAACCAAAGAACGAGCCATACATGGATTCCTGAAAATACACGGACTGAGCTACCAGCACAGCAACAGCGTCTTCTGTGGCTCACTCGTTTCTCCTGTTAAAACAGGTTATTTGGATCTGCCCGCCTGTCTCTTCACCTGGGACCTGCAACAATCACAGCTGTAATTGACAGATGTTCTATGCTAGGTAGCAGTTGCAACCTAGCATAGAACACACATAAAGAGTTTCCGTCAACATTTCTAATACAATACTTCAAAATGCAAATAAAACACATTGATCGTTGCTGATACATCAAGAACCAGGTGAATGAGAAGTTGTTGTTGATAGTTTTAATATATATAACATTAATGATGATTTTTGCGTTAACAGTCTTGCTAACTTCAGTGACACTTATTTGGAGTAAGTTAAATGCAAAACTTAAATTTGAACAATGAACATGACCAGCTTGGAAAAGAGAGTAAAAAGTTTCAGCTTTTCTCTCAATAACATGATTTCTCTCTCCACTGCAGACATATTTACTCTATATTATGTCAAAAGCAGTTCTATGTTCATAGACATATGGCAGGGCGACCTCAAGGTTAATATATTTCATAACCTTTCAGAAGTCTTTAAAGCCCATTGCGTTTGTGCGGAACAAGTAGGTCAGAAACCAGAACACCACACAGATATTTTTGTCTCATATGAAGAATTAATCAGAATTTCTTGCATAATAATTTCAGACTAAGCCAAACCAGAGTTGTTATTTCTGGTCAAACCTACACTGCTAATTCATGCTGGATATATAATGATCCAGATGGGAGCTACTGATGAAATACTCAAAAAAAAAAAAAAGAGTGGTGTTTATTTTCGTCTGTTGGACAGTGTTTACAAGAAGGCTGTCTGCAGCTGGGCAGCGAGGCTGTGTTTGTTTTCACTACTGCTCCAAAGAACATCAGCAGAGATGCTATCTCCATTTCCATCTGATCTGTCCAGGTAGAGCTGCGCCGCTGGCAGGCGAAGACTCCTTTGGACCAAATGGAGTCGAGGTATTTGCCTCTCAGGCATGTGAAACGAGGTGGCGACTGCAGCCGTGTGCGAACAACTCCAGCAATCAAGCCTTTTCTTTGGCAGCATGAGCGCACTGCGAAAAAAGTAGAGCGATAATTAAATGTGATTTATTATGAAGTATTTGTCAGGTTCTGGGTTTTTCCTTTATGAGAGGTGTCTCCCCTTCGGCTCCCCGTTGGTGGGTGGCCTGGAGTGGAGCTGCACGCCTGAAGCTCGTTGGATCATCAGTCAGGAGAGGATTTAAGGAGCTACCAGACCTCTCCTCTCCGCCGGATGATTATCCCTTCATGGTAGTCTCTAGCTTGTTAAGCCTTCCCCTGTGAAACGCTAGCATTGTTTTTGAACTTCTTGAGAAAACCTCTCTGCCTGTTGTCAGCCTTCCTCACTTTTTCCCTGTTTCTCATTTCCAGATAGTAGCCGACTTCCATTGGCGAATCTGCCTGCCGCTCTCAGAACCACACTGGCCTGCCCGCTCCAGCTCACTGTTCGTTTCCCCCCCCACCGTCGGGAAGCCCTCCAAGAAGACGTAAGCCAATTACTCGTGTTAACCCATCCAACTTTTTGTCCACCTCTGGCCAGATCATTGACCTGTTTTCTCCGCTTCCAGGCGAGACTGGGACCTATGCCTAAGGATCATCTACGAGACATTGTGATAGCTTTTTCTAATAAACATTTACTCACCAGTAATCTCCGGGCTTGATTCTACATGTGGGTTAGAAGTCTACCATCCATTATGACAGCATTTACACGTGTTACACCCAAATGGAGATTCTTTCGTAAGATACAGTATGCGAAAAGGAAGATGTGCGTCCTGGAAAT